TCTTAAATTAACTTTTCATAATTTTAAGGCCGTAAATAGGCTTTCATTTCGCAAACAGTGTGATAAATGTCTTAATTTTAGTTCGAATAGGTCTTAAATTAAGGAAAGATGATGCGTATTCACCCTGCTGAGGGGGGATGTGATAAAGCCTGGAGTGGAGCGAAAGCACGTTCCTCTCTCCACTCTAAGCATTCTGTAATCACTTTGCTCATGGTCCACTCCGGTTTTTTTGAAAGAGAGTCTTATCCATCACAAGTTCACTATGGCGTACCACAAGGCTCAGTATTAGGACCACTGCTATACACTCTGAACATGCAACCATTAGGAGATATCATTAGGAAACATAGAATTAGCGTTCACTGTTATGCTGATGATATTAAGCTGTATATTTCTTCAAAACCGAAACGAAACTTACCAATTCACAAAATTAAGGGAATGCGTAGCTGATATAAAAAATTGGATGACTAGTAATTTCCTACTACTAAATTCTAAAAAAAATAAAATAAAAAAACCCCCAGAGATTCTAATTATTGGACAAAAAACTTCCATACGTAACAGCCTAGAATACTGTCTGACACTTGATGGCTGCTCTGTTAAGTCTTCGTTGTCAGTTAGGAACCTGGGTGTGCTCTTTGATACCAATCTCTCTTTTTAAAATCTCTCATTTGAAAGTCTAGTATCTGTAAAACCACATTTTTCCATCTTAAAAATATGTCTAAATTACGCCATATGTTCTCCTTGACAAATGCGGAACAATTAGTTCATGCGTTCATGGCATCAAGGCTAGATTACTGTAATGCTCTACTGGGTGGTTGCCCGGCCTGCACACTTAATAAACAAACTTCAGCTAGTTCAAAACGCAGCAGCTCGAGTTCTTACCAGAACCAGGAAGTATGACCATATTAGCCCGGTTCTGTCAACCCTGCATTGGCTGCCTATTAAACATTGTATAAATTTGAAAATATTGCTTATTACTGACAAAGCACTAAATGGTTTATCTCCGCAGTACTTGAGCGAGCTCTTAACGCATTATAGTCCTTCACGCCTATTGCGATCTCAAAACTCCGGCCAGTTGATAATGCCTAGAATATCGAAATCGACTGCTGGTGGTAGATCCTTTTCCTATTTAGCACCCAAACTCTGGAACAATCTTCCTAACATTGTCCGGGAAGCAGACACACTCTGTCGGTTCAAATCTAGACTAAAAGCACATCTCTTTGGCCTAGCATACACATAACACACTATAAACTTCCTTAATTCAAAATTAGGCTGCATAGTTTGGATCAGCCAGAACCGGGAACACGTCCTGTAAATCCTGATGTACTTGGTACATCATAAGAAGGATGGCGTCTACGCTAATATTAGTTTCTCTGTTTATCCTGAGGGACCCTCTATGGTGGATCTGCGCCTGGACCCATCCCAACTCATCCTTAAGTGCCGGCCTCATCGACACGACAGCCATTGGCACTGATCCTCAACATCTCGTCTCCAAACCGGCGTGATTACTTCGACTTCCAAACAGATGGAAATGGACAAATACTCTTTAATGTTTCAATCCAATTTTTTTGTAATGCTACCCGAATCCCTTCGTTGGCCAGAGGAGATCTGGCCCCTGATTGAGCCTTGGTTCTCCCAAGGTTTTTTTCTCCATTCAGTCACCTGATGGAGTTTTGGTTCCTTGCCACTGTTGCCTTGCTTTTGGCTTGCTTTGTTGGGGACATTTAATATTCAACAATATTATTGATCTGTGTTGTATTTGTATTGTATTGTATTGATCTGTGAAGCTGCTTTGATAGAATCTGTATTGTAAAAAGCGCTATATAAATAAAGGTGACGACTTGACTTGAAGCTTTTTTTTTCCGTTAGTTTAGCCACTGTTTCAAAGGGATACCTAGGATTATGTTTATTTTCTTCTAATAGGTTTGAAAAATAAGCAGATCTAGCAGTTTTTAGGGCATCTCCATATGCGATTGAGCTCTCCTTCCATGAAATCCAGAATACCTTTAGTTTTGTTTTCTACCAGCTACGCTCCATTTTTCTGGGTGCTCTCTTAAGGGCCCTAGTGTGCTCGTTGTACCACGGCGTTGGACTATTTTCTTTAATCTTCTTTAAGTGCAACGGAGCAACTGCGTCTAAAGAGTGCTGGAAAAGAGAGAGTAAAAAGTTTCTGTCATGATATCGAGTTATTCTAAGCTAGGGATGCTGAGATTATGAAACTGATTAGGAAGATTATGCCTGGCTCACACTACAGGAGTTTTAAAATACTAACCGATTTTGAAATCTGGTTCCAGCTCACACTTAAGGAGAATCTTTGCAGATTTTCTTTCTTCAAATCTTAAACATGCTCACACTACAAGATTTGAAATTTGCGGCGCATCACACATTACACAATGTTATTAAGATTATCGTGCCAGAGTAAGCGGCTCACATGATCTCAAGCAGCAGATCGGAAGCAGAAAAGCGTATGTAAACAAATATCTGTCCCTCAAATCAAGTCATATTCGTGAAAAGGTTGCCGTGACCAAGTGAAGATATATATTTTCAATCATCTTTTTAACATTTAAGGTTAGGCTATTTCTACTGAATGGCGTCAGCTCTGGTCAGTACAATGAAAACATGCCATTGATCTCAATGAAGTGAAGCATCAGCTTCACGTTGCCCATGCGGCGCATTGCTGCTGAGCCTTGTAAAGTGGAGCTCAAAGTTAAAATTAAACATTAAAATAAATTACAGCTTGTTTCATTACATCTATATTTGAATGAATCTGCAGTTTTTACATTTCCGTTGAATGAACAGTTTAATGACTCACTCAAAGACAGTCCCTTGTCGCCACCAAGTGGCGTAACAATGAAACTGGACTGAGCGACAGCCTGTCTATAACACGCAGAGACGAGCAATTTTAATGGTAAAATATCAGCAGAAAGCGTTTAGTAAAGTGAGATTCGAGGATCGAAACTAATTGTTATATAACAATGACATAAAAAGCTTATTGTCAGGTTTATGTTCTGTTATTATATTATGTCGACCCTTATTTTGACATTGTATCTTCTGTTTACTCCACTTCGGTTCAATGTGCTTTTTAGTTTCGGTTTCATTACTGAATATACTCATCTTTGTGCCAGCTGACCACAGCGCAACAATTATTTATTTAGCTATAAATAAATAAATGAAGATAATACCGCATATCGCGCTCAAAATTCAGTCACTCAAAATGATAACAATGGAAATTCCTTCACAGCCCTACTTGTTACTTCTTATTGGCTAGACAGAAGCTACTGACGTACCAGTAATCACAATAAATATCAAACATGTTTGATATGATTGGAGCGAGCCCGATTTGTGTAGTAGATCGGGAGGTGCAAGATTCGATCTGTGAAAGCCTCACACTACCAGATAATCAGCGCCGAACATCGGAACCGATCGAGATAATTAACAAGATTTTTTCTCCTATTCTCATGAGGGGAAAATCGGGCATAAATCGGGCTAAAGCTCCTGTAGTGTGAGCCAGGCATTATTGATGAAGCAATCTTTAGTGGCAGAAGTTATAGTTCTAAAAGTCGGCTTTGCTGCTTTGGCTAAGTGAAGTTTACATGCGACTAGATAGTGATCTGAGATGTCATTGCTCTGCTGCAGAATTTCAACGGTATCAACATCTATTCCATGTGATAATATTAGATCTAGAGTATGATTACGAAAATGAGTAGGTCCTAACACGCGTTGTCTAACTCCAATTGAGTTTATAATGTCTTTAAATTCCAATCCCAATACATCTTTTTCATCATCTACTTGTATATTAAAGTCACCAACTATTAGTACTTTATCTCCAGCCAGGACTAATTCTGATAGAAAGTCCAAAAATTCTTTGATAAAATCTTTATAGTGCCCTGGTGGCCTGTATACAGTAGCCAGCAGAATTCTCAAACGTGATTTATCATTTGCACTATATATTTTTACACTAAGCACCAATATTTCAAAAGAAGTATATTTAAAACTAGATTGTTTGTGGTTTTGAGGATATTATTATAAATTACAGCAGCACCTCCCCCTTTGCCTTTCAGACAAGGTTCATGTTTATAACTGTAATCTTGTGGGGTGGACTCATTTAAAGTAATGTAATCGTTTGTTTTTAGCCAGGTTTCTGTCAAAAATTATATCATTAACTATGAGCGATTTTGAAGTAAGGGATATAATATTTAGCTTTATCATTTGCTCATCTGTAATATATCTGTTTTTTATTTTTTGAACATCAATTACATTTTTAATCTGATGTTTTTTGGATATCCAAATTCGTGGAACAGACACCGTCTCTATATGATATCTAGATTAAGGAGCCTCTATGTGATGGGTTTTATCTGACCTTGGTGACGCGAGGCTGCTAGCAGATGGTCGGTTTAGCCAGTCTGTCTGCTTCCTGATCTGGTGCCAAATTTGTCATGTTTTAGCTCTTAAAACTATGAGCCAAATTACTAGAGAGAAGAGCAGCACCAGCCCAGGAGGGATGAATACCATCTCTTTTCAACAGGTCAGGCTTGCCCCAAAAACTTTTCCAATTGTCTATAATTTCTACATTATTTTGCGGACACCACTCACACAACCAACGATTAAATGAGGACAGTCTACTGACTATCTCATCACTCTTACTCAGCGGGCTTTTTCTGAACTCAAAGGCACAGGCACGCGAGAGAAAATGAATAAAAATGAGCACACGGGTGGCGCATTAACAGGCTAGCGAGTTACTAGTGTGTTGTACTAACAATAACGGAAGCTAGCGAACGGTGTAAGGTTAATCTGAAATGTTTGAACTAGAAATTATTGTTAAAAACAGAAAGAAATGCAAAGCTAATACGAGGTTTAGATGGAGCGTACAGCCTTGGAGCAAACAAACACATAGCACAGCAGGCAGCGAGGCAGACAGAGGCAGAAACATCGCCTCTAAATGAGTATTGTAATGGATAATGGAATTGTACTGTTATGATTGATTCTGATCTTATCTCCTCCAGAGTTCCCAGCTCCCAAGAATGAGCTGGCCCAGCACTTCCAGGTTTGGTATTTGGGTCGTGTGCCGGTGACAAAGCCAGTTGGTAGGATGCCATCTGTTTATTAACACTTTACTTTCATGATATTATGTATATAATGCATTCTTTACCTGTTTTTTTTTTCTGCACCATAACTGATTGATCTCATTTGAGCTGTCGCGGTCAAGGAAAATTCCCTTGAGTGTTATTACCGCCATTTATTCATTGGTTATTCATTTTATTTTTTGCTATATAAATAAGTGGTATGTTGTGGTCAGCAGGTACAAAAACGAGGACATATTCAGTAACCCATTTAAACGAAATTAAACAGTGTTGAAACAGGAAGTGAAGTTAACAGAAGAGAATGTCAAAATAAGGGTACAGATAACAGAACATAAACCTGACATTAAGCTTGTTAGACTATTGTTATAAGTATAACAGATCGAGGCTTTCAGCTGATATTTCTCTAGCACTGCTCGTCTCTCCGGATAGACAGGCTGTCACTCAGCACAGTTTCATTGTTGCACCACTAGGTGGCTGCAAGGGACTGTCTTTGAGTAAGTCCCTAAATAGTCTAGGTCCTGGGTAAGATTTGTATGCACTTCATTTAGCGGAGAATATCTCAACTGTTATAGACTAATGTGACCCCATTGAACAACATGTCTGCCAAAATCTCTAACCGGGACGAAAGTCCTGAAAATTACCACAATAGGTGACACTTATATCACAATACAAGTGAATGGGACTTTTTTTTTTATCTTTATAGAAATTCTCAGAAATTTCTACCAGTTTAATCTTCATATTAAGAGAAATTCTTTTGGTATTACACTTTATCTTAAAAATAAAATAAAATATGCAAATTAGGCAATATCTCATTAAATATGCATACATATAACCTCTTGAAGCTACAGATTTTCTGAGGTGATCACAATGTTCACAATGACCATGTAGTGTAAGTGTTATACCTTACTCACCAATGCCATGAAGTCGATAATGATTGTGTGTGTTTGCGGGTATGGAATGCCAAAGCTGACTTAATTAAAAATAAATAAATACATAAATAAATATACGAAGAAATGTAAAAAAGCAAAAATACACAAATAAATACAGAAATTAATATACAAAGAAATTTTAAAAAGTACAAATAAATGAGTATTTATACTTTTATTTCCTTATTTATGTATAATTGTATTTTTTCACACATTTTATTTATTTATACATTTATTCATTTCCACTTTTATTTATTTCTACATTAATTTATGTATTTATGTTTTTATGTCTACATTTATTTATTTTCACATTTATTTATTTATACATTTATTTATTCCAACATTTCTTTGGCATTCACAGTTGCACTTCTCACAGCTGTGAATCCAGGGACACTGTCACTCTCATGTTTTACTTTTTTGGAGAAGTGATTGACCATCCACAGAAAATAGTCATTTCATTAACTTGGTGGACAAACTGTTATTAGCTAGATACAATACACACCAAAATAAATATAAAACTGATACAAATTCATTATAATTATTTTAATACACAAAATTACAACTTAAATGATAATGACACGTACTGTAAATGTACACACCAACACAGAATAAAGAGTAGATTTCCTTACTTTTCTTGATCTCAAATCATCTTCTTTGACAGCCATGCGCTCTGCAATGACCTCATGTGTGTAATAGGTTGACTGTTTTTTAGCCATTTTCTTTATATTAAATTAGACTGCTTACTCTCTTCTATGACCTTATAATCATGGTCATTGTGAACATTGTGATCTCCTCAGAAAATATGTAGCTTCAATGGTTTATATGAATGCATATTTAATGAGATATTGCCTCATTTGCATATTTTATTTTTTAGACAAAGTGTAATACAAAAAGTATTTCTCTTAATATGAAGATTAATCTGTTAGAAATTTATGAGGATATCTATAAAAGGAAGAAATAGTCCCATTCACCTATGGTGTCATAATAGTGTCACTTAATGTGGTCATTTTCAGGACTTTCGTCCCAGTTAGAAATTCTGGCACACATCCCACGTTGTTCAATGGAGTCATATTAGTCTAGAACAGTTGAGATATTCTCCGCTAAATAAAGTGCACTCAAACCCAGGACCTCTACTAAAACCGTTCATTTAACAAACACATTTAAAAACGATGATACATTCAAAGATAGATGTAATAAGTGTCGATTATTTTAGGTGTTAATTACTTTAACTTTGAGCTCAGCTCCACTTTTCAAGGCTCAGCTGACAAGTAATGCATTACATGGGTAACGCTGCTTATTTACCATTCAATACACATTCACGAAGTGCAAAACGAGAAGGGCATAGGAAACCCTGATGAAGGCTTATTGGCCACAACTCCTCTGTGTGCAGTTATCTGTAAACTGTTTTTAATTTAAGTCATGATTAAATAAAAGCTTTTTAATATATATTTACTTAAAATTATCAAGTGCCTTGGCTTGATACGTTTTTAAGAAGGGTATAGTCTTTTGAAAAAGAAAACACTAAAATCGCAGTTGCTTGCATTCTTGTCAGTATTGTGATATTTCAATCGCGCAGCCCTATGTGTCATCACCTCTGAACACTCAAAATAACAATAACAAATAACTAAACTAGAAAAAAAGTTTGATGAGACAAACTTTAAGTTGGCTTGAGAAAGCCAGACCAGAGAGTTTGAGGAAGTTTAAAGTAGTTTGAAGTTTGATAGATGGATTAGTTAGAAAGAAAGAATAGTTAGAAAGATGATAGATAGATAGATAGATAGATAGATTAGGTAGAAAGAAAGAAAGATTAGGTAGGCAGAAAGAAAGAAAGAAAGAAAGAAAGAAAGAAAGAAAGATGGATGGATAAGTTAAAAAAGAAAGATAAATAGATTAGTTAGAAAGAAAGAAAGATAGATAGATTAGTTAGAAAGAAAGATAGATAGATTAGTTAGAAAGAAAGATAGATTAGTTAGAAAGAAAGAAAAATAGATAGATTAGTTAGAAAGAAAGGAAGATTGATTAGTTAGAAAGATAGATAGATAGATAGATAGATAGATAGATAGATAGATAAGTTAGAATATATTGGTTAGAAAGATAGATAAGTTAGAAATATAGATAGATAGATTTAGTTAGAAAGAAAGAAAGAAATAAAGAAAGAGTAGAAAGAAAAAAAGATTTGTTTGAAAGAAAGATAGATTATTTAGAAAGAAAGATGGATAGTTTAGGTAGAAAGAAGAAAAAAGAAAGATAGATAGAAAGAGAAAGAAAGAAAGATAGATTAGTTAGAAAGAAAGAGATTAGTTAGAAAGATAGATAGATAAGTTAGAGAGAAAGAAAGATTAGGTAGAAAGAAAGGGTAGAAAGAAAGAAAGATTTGTTAGAAAGAAAGATAGATTAGTTCGAAAGAAAGATGGATAGATTTGTTAGAAAGAAAAAAAAAGATAGATTAGTTAGAAAGAAAGAAAGGAATAAAGAAAGAAAGAAAGATTAGGTAGAAAGAGAAAGGGTAGAAAAAAAGAAAGATTAGTTAGAAAGAAAGAACGATTTGTTAGAAATAGGGCTGCAACGATCATTCGACAACGTCGACAATAAAAAATTGTCGACAAATATCTTTGTTGTCGAGTATTCGTTTGATCTCACGTAGGGCTGGGCGATATATCGCACGATATTGTTATGCGCATCTAATCAGTAAAGCCGGTTCCTTGATTAGCAGTAAATCACCTTTACCTGCTTTCAGATGGAGCGGCATTTACTACAAGGAGCCGTAGATCACTGACAAGCTGAGCCATATCGCGTTAATATCGAGGACGTATCGCCAGCGATATTTAATGCGATATGGCTCAGCTGGTCAGTTAACTACGGCTCTTCGTCATGACAAAATCTCCCGTGTTAAATTAACACACCTGGGAGTGTATATAAGTCCACACTCAAGAGTGTTAAAGTTAATGAGATAATTAAGTGATTAAATGAGTGATGATTGAGCATTATTGAAGACACTTAAAGCAGAATCACAAGAAAAAAAATCTAAAATTTTAAGCCACCGTTATGGAGATGAGTGTTTGCTTTAGTTGGGCTCTTGACCTTATAATATAAATTTTATATTTTAATTTGAAAACCAACAATGCTGTCATGGGCAATACATGCAAGGCAGAACTTGCTTTTCACGGGAGCACCACATGCATGTTGGAGCACTTAAAGAGGAAACATCCGGGCAAAAGAGGAGCCGGTGAGAATCGAGTGTTCTCCAGCTGGAGCTAACTTAGGGGCCGTTTACACCTGGCCACTTCATGCGTTTTCTGTGATCGGATGGCTATCCGATCCTGAAAAGACCAGGTGTAAATGCCCCCCGAAACGCATTCGAGATGGATTTGAATCCGATCGCTCAAACCACTTCATGAGGTGGTCTGGGCCGCATTCCAGACGAAATTGGACAAGTGTAAATGCATCTGGTTCTTGAAACCACATATGTAAATGTTACTACTCCCAAAAATGCTAAAAAAATAAAGGCGTGAGAGTGTGTTACAGGCTATATGTCATGCCATTTTAGTCAGATGACGACGCTACTGCGACGCGCTTAAGCGCATCACCTCAGATGAGCAGCTGAACGCCTATCAAGCCAACGCGCCGCATTCTATCGCAAATCAAAGTGAAAGTAAGTCGCAGACGCTTAACACTACCATCTTCATTAAAAGTAAAGAAACGAAATGATCTTACCAGTTCTGTTGCCGCTCTCTCTTATCACCGTCTTTGCTGATTTTGAAATTAGCCGATGATCAATAAAATCCAGCTCATATCTGTTGCTTTCGGTGACGTGCACTTCATTGAATCCTCATATAGCGCGGGAATTGAAGATCGGATTTATATCCGTTTTGCAAAAACACATTTATGTGACCAGGTGTAAATGGAATCGTTTCGATAAATCAGATAGCTATCTGATCTGAGAAAATGCACAAAGTGGCCAGGTGTAAACAGCCCCTAAACTAGTGGTAAATCTCTTTATTAGATCATGCAATACTAATAATAGTAATAATATCATCAATAATAATATAATTACAGTAATGTGATGATTTATTTTAC